TTTTAAATTTTAACCATCATTATTTTAAATATTTTTAAAAATTAAATTTTATAAAATATATATTTCAAAACTACTCGTTAAAGATTTTTAAAATATATTTTTTCATATTTTTATTTATAATAAATTTTAAATAATAAAAAAATTGATCTAAGAAATCAATTGGAATATTTTGAGTGGAGAGAGTATTATTATTTTTAAATAAATAAATAAAATTACTATTGAACTCTGCTTATGTCAATGGATAGACCTCAAAATGATGTGTCCATCTTATGTCGTATACCCATTACTTATGGCTTAAAATTGCCTATATAATATGGAACGAAATTAAAAGATGGCCTAGTATTTATATCCTGTTTCCACGTCATTCCTCTGTTTGCATTCCACACGAGAATTCTTTATTATTTTTTAAATAAAAAACTAAAATCTCCATTTAAAAAGCAAACGCAACCGCCGCCACGAATCTGCGAGAAACCAACAGATGCGACCCAGGCCACGATGGAAATAAACGGATCTTCCCGCTTACGCCACCCCAAATCCCAATCAACCGATCGATTCCTCGGCGTTTACCCCCACTCGCCGCTCTCCAACAACCCTTCCCAATCTTCCTCCGTCGCGGAAGAGCTCAATGAAGATGATATCTTCTTGGCTGGTGACTTCTCCGACAACTCCAACGGCTCCAACTCCGCCGCCGGCCGCTCGATTTCCCACCACCGAAGGACGTCTCCTTCCCCATTCCCTTTAACCATAATCCTTCCCTCACTCCGATAACTTTGGAATCCTCGCCGCCATCCGCGACCCTTCACGCCCCCAATCCCATTTCTACCAGAAGTCCTCGATTTCCACATCGGCATCGTCTTCCTCCCCAGTCACTTCAGCAGCTTCCTCCGCTCGTTCAATTCCTTCGATTCCTAAACCGCCACAAGAACGAATCCCGGTCGTTTCGTCTTCATCTTCTTCAGGAAGGTTTCATCAATCGGCGCCTGTTAACGTTCCGATGGTAGCTAAGCCTATGAGTCAAAAGCAAGATTTTGACGACAACTACGACATTGAGCTGGAGGAAGAAGGGGAAATGTTGCCACCGCATGAGATTGTGGCCAGGAGCTTAGCGCAGTCCCCTGCGTTGGCTTGTTCAGTGCTCGAAGGCGTGGGGAGAACCCTAAAAGGAAGGGATCTAAGGCAGGTAAGGAATGCTATTTGGAGACAAACTGGGTTCCTTGATTAATTGAGGAAGGAAATTGTGTTTTTGGTTTTTCCCTTTTAAATATTCATTTCTGGGTTTGATTATTGACTTGTTGGATATGGAAAAGTACAAGTATTTTGTTAATGTAATCAAAATTTATATTCTTTTGTTATGTAATTTTACTCTTTGTTATGTGGTTTAGTCTATCTTCTTGAGGATAAAATATACAAAAATTAATAAGAACATAAATTAAAGAACTTTAGAGCAGTTACATAGTTAGAATTTAGAAACTAGAAAGGAAATTGCTTTATGCATACTGCAACAAAATCATAAATTAATCCTTGCTAAATTAAAGATAGGAAGTTCACTAGTTTTATGCTATCAAGGGAGGTCAACACTCAACAGTCTGCTACATTGTTGCATATTGTATCAAATTAGATTGCTTTATACATGGTGCTATGCAGCGAGGTATTATTGTAGAATGCTTGGTTTTGGATTTCCCTGGTGGCTTGATAGCTTTGATTTTCCCTTGTTCGATTTAAGATGTTCCAGGTTTCTTGATCATATGTTGCTAGTGTGAAGTGGTTTGTATTGTTGGAATGATGAATGGTTGAGAGCTGGGAATTTGTGGACTAGGTTTGGGTTAAATGTAGTGAGGTATTAATAATTATTGTAGAATGCTTGTTTGAGGCTTGATAGCTTTGAAATTCTCTAGTTCAGTTTAAGATGTTGGAAGTGTGAAAGGATCCGTTTGGAGATCGGATATTGTGTTCTGTACGTTCTGGTGCTAGAAAGTTTGTGTAGGATTTGCAGTTGAATGCAGTGAGGTACTATTGTAGAAGACTTGGTTCTGGTTTTCCTTAAATCAGTTAGTCTATACATATATCTATTTTGTTATTATAGAGTTTGAATCATATGATTTATTGCAAAATGGTGTGTTTCCTGTTATTTGTAGCTTGCATCGCATTGCAGTGTATGTTTTTCCAAACACCATTCTGATACCAGTGAAAAAGAACAAAAGGGGATGCCCATGATTCAATCCCATTTCCTTTGTGCTTATTAATGCATTCCATCTAGGAAGGAACCGCACCGACAAACCAAAGTTAATCCGAGTCCAAGGTGCTCGGATGAACTTAGGTTGGCAGTTTAGGTTTTGAAATTCCACATAGGTATTTTGGAAACTCAGAGAGAAACAATCACGAATGTTCAGATTCTAAAGCCACTGATTGCAGTCAAAAGGAGGTTTACTTGTTGCTTTGGAGTTGGTTTTGTATTATAGCAGGCCGAGATGTTAGTCCTGGGACCTTCTCACCTACTGACTTTGTCTAGCAAGCAATGGCGGCAAAAATGCTTAGATGAAGCTTTGAAGAAGAAAAAAATGGCTGATATGGGGCAATGAAAAAAAACATTTTTTAAAGTAGGGTGAAATGAATAGTGAAGGAACAGTCAGCCGAAGCACACGACGTATTCGGGAAGTCGATTGGAGTACATGACGTCTTCAAACTCTTCATCTCCGGCAACATCCAGCGTCTTCATCTCTGGCATATTCGGGAGGCCAACTATGGTACTCCGGCCGGGTATAAATACAGCAGAGAGGGAGGCCGGTCATGGTGTTCCGAAGATAAAAGGCTTAAACACGTTCACTGTAACAACCACCCTAGACCAAAAATTATATGCTTCAACACCCTACGTGGAAGGTTTTTTTTTTCAACCCCCTTGTCTCAGTATTTTTGCCAAGCAATGGCCATTTCGGCAGCAACCCCAAAACTGAATTTAGTGCTACTTCGTTGTCTGCTGACATGATCAATTTCTGTTCTACATACTTTTGACATCTTCAAATAATTTGATGGTAAGCCTGCTAATAAGGCTAAAAAATCAAATAAATAATTTACAGCTGGTCAGATATTTGTTTTTAATTATTTGTCTGAAATTTAATATTTGTTTTTTATTCGTAAATCATCAGTGTATTATTATTGTTCGAATCTAAATTTGAATTATGTATTATTATCCATTGAATGTTTGAATCTATAAAAAAAATTAAATTAAAAAAATTAAATTATATATTGAACATCACAATTTGCAAAAAACCAAATCCGTTGAAATTTTAGATATCTAAAATTTGAGTGCCCTAAGAATAAAAATCTATAAAAAAATTAAATTAAAAAAATTTAAATTATATTGAACATCACAATTTGCAAAAAAACCAAATCCGTTTGAAATTTTAGATATCTAAAATTTGAGTGCCCTAAGAAATAAAAAAAAACATTTCCTATTTTTTAGTTTGAAGTCATTTAAATAAAAAAAATATTCGAATCTACGATATTTATCAGTATAAACGATGATGTTTTAGATAATAGATATTCAGGAACGTTAAGCTATATCGCATTTAAATTTACAGTTAATAATAATTTTGATATCTAAATTCATAATATTTAAATCTATAAACAATATATTAAATGTCTAAATCTATAATTGAAAACCATATCTGGCCATAAATACGTAATCTATAATTTAACTATATAATATTTAAATCTATAATTAACAATTTTAATTAGAGAAGAAGAAAGAAAATTTTACTCTTAATAATTATTAAACCCACAATTTAAGAGAGGTATTAAATGAGAGATTTTAATCATTTATTCTATACGTTGTTGACAATTTATGTTATAACTAAATTAAACTAAAACAGAAGAGAATACGATGGTAAGTACCTTTTTCTATCCCTTATTTTTTTTCTTAAAAAACCCCATTTTTATTATTTATGCTATTTTGAGAGACATGAGGGGATGAAAATAAAGTATAACATTAAAAACTTTTCCCCATTAATATTTTACATAAATGCTTTTATATAATTGAAAAATGTTATCATATGTATAAAATAAAATCCGTTCAAATTTTAAATCAAATTACATTTTTTTCAAAATAAGTTTTATATGTGGTTAATTATTTTTTAAATTGTTAAAAATATTTTATGCATTAAGCTTTCAAGATTATAAGATGGATATTAAAATTTTGAATTTTATTGTAAAATAAATATTGTGTCATTAGTTACCTTATATTATTGTTGTTAAGAGGATGATGCGATATATTAAAATAATAAATAATATTTTAATTGATCCATCAGTTATAATTATATTTTAAAAAATATTTTTAAAATATATATAAAATATATAAAAAATATTTTTAAAATATTGTGTCATTAGTTACCTTATACTATTGTTATAATTATTTGATCCTTCAGTTATAATTAATCAAAAATTATAAATTTTTCAATGAATCTATTTTTTAAAATATATAAAATTTATAATTCATTTTTAAAATTTTAATTTTGAGAGAAATATTGTAAAATATTGATCATTAGTTATTAGTTATTTTTAAAATGAAATCTGTGTGAAGCAAAGGCAAAGCGATTTTGGGTCTGTATGTCTCGGGCTTAAGCTGCCTTTGATGTAATATTTGCTTTTCTTTAAATGAAACTTAGATGGATAAAAAATATATTTACGGCCAATTTTTTTGTTTTAAAAATATATAAGGATGCGCGTTAAAAAATGAAGACAAAACTTTTGAGCGGGAATATAGGGTACACGCGGCATGTTATATATTTAGATATTTCACCCTATATTGAAGGAAAGCTTGAATTAGAGAAGACCTTTAAAATGGTAGTTTCATCAAACATCAACCACTAACTCAGTAAAACATCAAGAACCATTCTTTGCTTCTATTATTGAACAAAACCCTCGATAAATCAACCTTCTTCTTCTTCACAATGATCACATTTCAAACCTCAAGTTTCATTCCCAGATGCAAGCTGAAGCACAATATGGAAGAATCATGGAAGACAGCATCGGAGAAACAAATTTTAATCGAGGATTCCAATGTTTCCGATTGGCTTTTGACCGAGATCCTCCAACGACTACCTCTTAAACGCATTTTCATGTCCAAATGCGTCTCCAAGAGATGGCACTCTCTCATTTCCGACCCCTTTTTTGCTCGTCTTTACATCACCAGAATCAACAATTCCTCCTCCTTATCCACGTCTCGCCCTTGGAACCTTCTTTTCCGATACTTGTACGAAGTCCGAATCGTTCCGTCGAGCATGATCGGCACCCGCATTGCCTTGAAACAATCCCACGATTTCTCATCTCCGGGCTTTTCTTTGAACTTTATGCCTAGTTCAAGACATGATTGCCCCATGAAGATCCTAGCATCGAGTAATGGCTTATTGTTATGTTCCGAAAGCTTTTACTGGCAGAAAATTTACTACATCTGCAATCCACTTATTCAGCAATGGATTGGTCTCCCTAAACCACCTAGAGTGATAAAATCAGTCGCCATTGGTTTCATTAGCAAAGATGATTGCTACAAATTGGTTCGTTTTCCGACAGCTGACGATGGGTCGTACCCATTCTACGCTGTACAATTAGAAACTTTCTCTTCCAAGGCCGGCGAATGGCATTGTTCAATGGTGAACTGTCCTTTATTCGACTATTATATAAAGACGGATTCCCTTGTTGTGAATTACAATGGAATTTTACATTGGCTCGAGTTTCGCCATAGAAAGATCATTACATTCGATCCCGAAAACGAAACCGATGTCCGACTCGATTTTATGAACCTGCCTGATAATAAGCAGAGCGACCATCTTTGCCTCCTGGGGGTGACTCGCGGTCGTTTCCGATACTTCGAGGTGACTGATACTTGTTTAGGAGCGCGCTACGTTTGCGTGTGGGAGGTCTCGGATTACGATGCTCGACAATGGTGTTTGGAGTATAGGGTCAAGTTCTCTGATTCTTGGAGTGGTGAAGTCGACTTATTTATTCCGAAAGATAAATTCTATGTCTTCCCTTTGGCTCTCCACCCTCTTAATTCTGATGTTGTCTACTTGGGCTATGGAAGTTTCTTGGTTTCCTATAACCTTACAACCAGGAAGATGGAAGTGGTTCACCGGAACTTTTACTCTCATCAATTGCTGCCTTTTGTGCTCTCGCCGTGGCCGACGACAATTCCTCCACCGTTTTGGTAAATGCATTAGCTACTTCAGCTGGTTACTCTTATTGTATACAATGTAACCGATCATTAACAAAAGTTATGATCTTCTATTATTCAGAATTGAAATGTGTATCATATTTGAATATGTATATGTAATTATACAAAATATAATGATGATGTTTTCGATTCTTTCCAACTGAAGAAGAGTTAGTTTCTTTCTACCTACGTAACCAATTAGAAGACAGAGACGAGAGACGCATCGTGTTATCCAGGTCCAGAACGTTTACGACGTCGAGCCATGGGACCTTTCGAGTCATATGCACTTATTTCTTCACCCATCGTGTTTATGGTTGCAGAGCTTGCAGGAGAACTTTGTAAAGAAGACATAGAGCAATGGTTTTACTTTACACAAACACAAGAGAAGGAAGCTCGTGAGGGGAGACCAAGTCGAACTACAGCTTTGGGATGTTGGAAGGCAGCAGGGTCTCCCGGATTCGTCTACTCGTCCGATGATCTAGTGACCGAACAAAGAAAACAATGGTATTTTATAAGGGGAAAGCTCCTTGTGGGAGCAAAACCAAATGGAAGATGAATGAATATAATGCCATCGATCCATCTGCAAACTGCTGCACCTAAGGTGAACATATACTAAATAGTTGCATAGTTCTTCAGGCATAAAAAAGCTTCCATTTTTATCATATATTTTCTTGTTCACCGTTTCTGAATGTAGTCGAGACATGAATTCAGTCTGTGTGGAGTCTATGTGGTTTCGGGCAGCTCTCAAGCATTCGATAGAAGCCCGGTAGAACCACTTCACAATGTTGCAACATCTGAGAGAGCCACAGTTATCCTCTTGATGGATAGACAATGTAAATTGAGGAGCAACAAAAGGGTGATCCATCACTCCCAAGGTCTCAAACATTCCTGGAATTCTCTCATTTCACCAGTAACTGTGGAAGCTTCATTAACATCAGAACGTTGATGAACATCGGCTATTACACTCATATCACCAACAAGCAGATGGTATCTATATTCAATCTAACAACCTATCTATTACTTCTTTTTCTTTTTAAGGATTGTTAAAACATTCCAAAAACTCAAAATAATGCTGACATAGTTGGAGATTTACCTAGTTTGGCAACACAAGTACCAACAGTTTTCCTTCTTTGCTTTATCAAACTGCACCTTTTTCTTAGCTTTAATTTCCTGCAACAAATTGAGAGTCCAAGGGAAGCAACACACTATTTTCTTAGCTTTAATCAACGTGCTCCTTAACAGTTAGCTCCTTATCACCAGACACAGCATTTTAAATCTATTAGATGAGCCAGTGTACATAGGCTGCCCTTTACTCTCCTTAGGAGAATGATCCTAAAGAACAATATCTGTCACAAGAGCTATTGTTCACAATTGAACTGGTTTGACCCTAATCAGCAACTATTTTTCCAAAATTACTCGGCAAAGATGCTATTTGAAAGCAACTCCATGTAATTACATGGATAACTCATTCCGAACACAACACTTGTAGAGCTATACGTATCAGAAATGTCGGTGGCGGTCGGTTTTCGGTTCTTTCCAACTGAAGAAGAGTCGGTTTATTTCTACCTATGTAACCAATTAGAAGGCATGAGACGAGTTATGCACCTTGTCATCCCTGTCCTCAACGTTTATGACATAGAGCCATGGGACCTTCCAAGTACATATGCACTTATTACTTCACCCATATAGTTTCGAATCGCTTTAGCTGAAAAATAACATAAATTAAATAATTACTGTTATTTTAAACATTATTTGATTATATAAAATGAATTGTTAGAGGAAGGAACGTGATCATAAAAACTCCATACTTCACCAATTTTTCCTACTCTCTTTCTTTTGTTTCTCATTCTACAATCGTTTAAATTAATTAGAGTGAATCTTAAAGAAGCATAACTTTAGATAATTGCTTACAACATTTATTTAATGTTAAGAGATTTACAATCTTTTAAATTAATTAGAGTCAATCTTTAGGAAGCATAACTTTAAATAATTTCTTACAATATTTATTTAATGTTAAAAGATTTTGTATTTGTCGTTTTATTTATGTGCGATTTTAATATTGAAATTTTATTCTCTCCATCTTTAAGAAGATTGTAAAGATGTCTCGTATGATTCATCTCGATAAATTTAAGCGAAACATCATAATCAAGATATTCAAAGAAAAAAAACTTATCTCGCTCATGGTAGAGCTCAATTCTCTCTCCGTAGAGTTAAAGGCATTTTTCAAAATAGTGAGATATAAGGATGGATTTAGAGCGGAGCAAGTGGGTGTTCGCTCTCCTAGAAAATTTAAATTCCTATATGTTTTATATATTTTCTTATATTTTTATTAAAATATGTTTTTATTTCCTAAATTTATAATTTCTTCCCTACTGAAAATTTTATAAGTTCTCTTCTACTTAAAATTTTATAAGTTCACTCCAACAACATGAAATCATATGTTAGTCCTTGGTGAGATGTAAAATTAGAAAAATTTCAATCGTAGATGTCAATGACCTTATAGAGGGTTGAAAGAGATAATTTTAGATATGAGTCTCTCACTCTAACCCTTATCATGACACTTATAGCTTAATTAATTAGATATATATATTATAGCACGAACCCAACGACCTTAATGATTAAGGGATTTTTTGTTATTTTTTAAAGTCTCGGGTTTGAGCATCGCGTATGTATGAATATAAGCTTTCATTTTGAAAGGGTTGATAGTCTTTAAACATATATTACGTTGTATTCGCCTTTAATTTATCAACAAAATCAATATATTATATTTTTTACTTTCATATTACAAATGATTTATTATTACATTTCTTGTCTATTACAAAATATATAAACTTAATTTATCACTTAACTGTAGAGGCAGAGACAGGGTAGGGGTAGTTGCTCTTAAAAATGTACTAACAAATATTAAGTTATTTACTTTTCTAGATCTTCAATTTTAATTTACTTTTAAAAATTTATTATCTATTTTTATTATTAATTATATTTTGCCCTTGAACATCATCCTTATTTAACTAGTAGTTCATTGATGGATCAAAACAAAATTTTTAATTTTTATAAAAACATTAGATTATTAAGAAGCGATATCTGAATCTTAAGCATGTGTTTGCCAGACAAGCAGATCCTGCAATATTGCAAGTTTGATGCTTTAAAACAAAGCCTCTAATTTGCATTCGTTGAAATATAAAATTAAGGGTAAATTATACGTTTAGTATTTAAATTATTATTTTTTATTTTGTTTTAATACTCAAACTTTATTTTATTTCAAAATCACATCTAACATTTATTTTAAATTTCATTTTTGTATCATACCGTTCAGAACTTAACAATGATGTTGACGTGTCCATTAGGTAATGCCACATCATCATTTTAAAAAAAGAAATGACATGTCAGCAGTTTCGTTACTTTTTAACGACGACTACCAAATCGAAACTTAAACTAAACGTTTAGTATGATTTTGAAATAAAATAAAGTTTGAATGATAAAACAAAATAAAAGTAATAATTTAAATATTAAACGTGTAGTTTACCCTACAATCAATTGTTTTTTTTTTTTTTTGAGTATCCTACAATCAATTGTTAAAGCAATGAGTCATGGGAGCAGGCAAGCAGCCACAGAACAGAGATTGCCAGCTTCAATAATATTATTAATTACAAACTTAAACTTACCCTTTCCCCAACAACTGCAAGTTGAGTAATTTATAAACCAAAACAATCAATCGAATTGTTAAACTAATAAAAGATAATTCAAATATTAAATATAATAATTAAGTAAAAAATACATTTATTTTAAAAATAATTTATTTTAAGGATTTTTGTGTGAGGTGGGATAGTTGTCCCAAGTGGAATCTATTGATTTGTCTGTTATCCTTAATGGGATAAGAATGAATTTAGAATCTCATCCTTTTAATCTTTAGAGATGAGAGTCTAAAAAGACGGCTAAGCGTTGCAACTAATTAGACTTGTATTTTACGCAATATCTTTCTAACAACAAGTTGAACTAATTAAAAATAATTAATCTCATAAAGACATTCGTATTTTCTTTTTGGATAATTAATTTAACAAAATGACAGCTTTGATGTGCTGTTTGCATGTAGAATATTCCATGCACCAAATCGGTTATAAATTACCTGTTTATGTCATCTAGCTTTTAGCGTAATTTTATTCTGGTCATTCAACTTTTGAAATATTTTAAATATTTAAAAAAGCAACATGATAAAAAATATTAATAAAATAAATTAAAGTAATTAAAATAGGAACAATTCAAAAGTTGAATGATTAAATTAAAAAAAAGTTTAAACTTATACGGCAAACAAATGTGAGGAAATAGTTTAATTTACCCATAAATAAAAGCTAAAAACATTTTGGTTCTTCAAACTTTCCGCGACAGCTTCGTGTAAAATTATAAACAATTTAAAAATATTTTCTCACCGACATGCGAAAATAAAATAGTGGCGAAACGTGTTTAACATGACATGGTCTCACCTCTATCAGAGATGGCATAAAGTTAACGTAATCCAAAACTAAAAATCAAAATTCAATTTCGGATCTTATAAAACATCCCCTCTCCCCCTTATCCATAAACAACCATCACTTTCCTCACACAAAATCAAATTACTTAGCCCAAATTCAGCCAGTTATGATCCCAATCGACAATTGTTTATCATCCGCCTGGTCCTGGCACCAAGACAAGCTGTTCGAGCAAGCTCTGGTCATGTTCTCCGACGACCAATCGCCCGACCGCTGGGAAAAAATCGCTGCTCAAGTTCCGGGGAAGTCGGTGATGGAGGTTAAGAAACATTACCATGATTTAGAGCATGATGTTTTAGAAATCGAGTCGGGAAGAATCGAGTTACCCAGCTATGAGGGTGAGTTAGAACCCAGGAGTAGGATTAACGAGTCAAGTGGGAGCCAAGTTTGGGCTGCATCGAAGGGAAAGGAAAAAGAAAGCGAGAGAAAAAAGGGCATCCCCTGGACCGAGGAAGAACACAGGTAGAATTTGGAACCATTTACTCAATTAAAGCTCAAATTTAATTTTGGTCCCTCTACTATATTTATAATTAAATTTTATTTTATATACCTTAATTTTGTATAATTTAAACCTCGAGTTTTATATAATGGTCAAATAATCTTACTCAATTGCTGATGCGATTTTTTTTTTCATTCTTAAAAAGTAAAAACATTCCTTTTAACATTATAACTTTTTATGTCAGCATCATGAATTTTTTTAGTGCTTCCAATAAAAAATTTACATAAATGTTTTTAACTTTTTCCATCAACGTATGGCATTATAAAAATACAAATACCAAATTAGTTTTATTTAAACTATATAAATTAAATTAAAATTTATATATAATTAAGGGACCCCAATAACATATTTAACCCTAACCAACCTTTTATTAAAAAAAGACATTTGTCTTTTAACATTTTTATAAAAATATATATTTTGGATAGGTTATTTCTTATCGGACTTCAAAAGTATGGAAAAGGGGATTGGAGGAGCATATCGAGGAACGCCGTCGTTTCAAGGACACCAACTCAAGTGGCAAGCCATGCACAAAAATACTTTCTCCGATTGACCTCGGCTAATAAAAAGGAGAAGAAAAGATCAAGCATTCATGATTTAACAATGGGAGATGAACAACCCCAGTTTTTCAATGAACAAGGAAGACCATTTGTGAATAATCATGAGTATGAATTCCCATTGTTGTAATTAAATTGTCAATTTACACTGTTAACAGCTTTTATAACTGTATAGAATCATAAAGAACCCAACTTAATTGTAATTTTGTTTTAATTTCTTAATAAAAATAATTTTAAAATGAAATGAAATAATGTTATCAAAATGATCATTTTATTATTTGTTTTCTTAGAGTATTTTGATCTTTAATGTCTGATTTTAAGGTAAAAATACGTTTAATATTTAACTAAATAGTTACAGTAATCATTATTCTTTTTATTTTAGAGTATTACGATCTCAACATTTTTATTTTAGAGTAAAAGAATTTATATTTTAAAACGTTAATCATTTGTTAACTAATTATTATCTATAAAAATCTATAAAATTAAATATTATGGATTAAAATGCTAAAAAACTAATATGACTATTTTGATGAACATTAAGGATTGATTTTAATATTAATCATTTTAAGATCTAACACTGGATTCTAATTTCTATACTATTTTCAAAAACATAATACGTTATGTTTAGTACGTACTTTTTCTCAATAGAAAATTGGCGTTTTATTCAAACTCTCAGTCAAGAGGGGTAGCTGACCTGACAGAACCATTGATAGCAGTCTCATATTTGCAGTTAAGCATCAATTATTATGGATAATGTGGACGAGCGCCGCCGCCAAAGGGTCTTGCCCAAAAATGGTCAAAATTATTTTTTAGATTATTTAAATATTTATATAATTATAAAGGGTTAACATTTTGAATAGTCACTTAACTATGGGTAGATTCTATTTAGGCTATTGAATTAATTTTTTTGTCATTCAAAATATATAACTATTTAAATAATATCGATCAGCTCACTAACTATTAATTATTAATAAAAATATTTATTATTAGATAAATATATTTAATTATCACATCAATAATTTTTAACAATTAATGATTAATAATTTGATTAGTGTCATTTAAATAGTTAAATGATCTTATTTAATTTTTAGTTTTAGTGATCAGAATAGATCCCACAAATAGTTTAGTAACTTTAAACAATTAATCCAATTATAAATTAAGGATAAACTATATAATTAGTCTCTGAATTTTAAGAATGTTTGTATTTTGGTTACCAACTTTTCAAATTGATGATATTATCATTTAGTTTTTAATTCACTATCATTATGGTCGCTATAGTCAGTTATCGTTAAAGAAAAAATTGGTTACCAACTAAAACTGGAAACATATATTAAGTAAACATTTTGATGAAATATTAATAAATATTACATTATTAAACCAAGCTCCGAAAAGGGGAAAAAAGAAACTATAAATTATCATAACTTAAAAACTTCTGCACTAGATTGCTTTGAATGAAACGGTCTCTTGTTTTACTAAGTAGTAGTAATTGAAGGATAAAAACCAGCTATAATAGCCGTGTTCCATCCAATAAAGCACTCTTTCAATGTCTGTTGCTGAATATGTTATTTCATTTGGTGCATACACAACGTATGTTTGGGCTTGGTCTTGGCCTTGAGGTTGGGCTTGGGTTTCGGCTTTTGCATGAAGTTCTCTAATTTCTACTTCTATTTCTCTCTTCCTAGGTTTTGTTTTACTTGAGGTCTCCTTCGTCCATGGCTCATTCTTAGATACCATAATGCAACTAAAACTAAAACCAGAATGACGAACACTGCCCCTAGAAGCAAAGGATGCTCATGTATCCAACTTTTAATACATGTTCCATTCTGTATATTTCGTCCCATCATAAATAACCATACATATACATGTTATATAATTTATATGTATATTAGTAATTTACATATCATTCTTTCTCTTCTTTTTATAGGCCCGATGTTTACAAAGCCCAACGGTGGACCCAGATCGATCTCCACGACCCAACAAGCAAAGGTTTCCATAACCCTAGTTCTGTCGTTCCAAGCCAGCACCATTCACAGCCACATGTCTCACCCAACAACCCGCATAATCCGGCGCAGGGATCTCAGTCATCACCAACATATCAAGAAACCAACTAGCATTAGAATCCTAGTTCAAATAGGATACTAAAATGGGACTTTTTTCAGACTATAAATAACCCATGTATTACACGATTAAAGCGGGGGTGGAGACTAAACTCATTCGAACGGGAAACACCGAAACATTTCGAGGTGGATTTCAGAGAGAAAACATAAAAAATCAAGGAGACCATTCGAGAAAATAATAACTCACCTTTTTTCTCTCTCTAAAAAACTGGGTTGGAGCCTGTTCATCGGAGTCAATAATCTACTTTGTGTCACCAAAGTGAGGCATCTCATTTCCGGTGCGATTCACGGCAGCCAGAGTTGGCTTTGCTTCATACGGCGTCAGGTGATAGGTGAATAAAGGGGGGGTGAGCATTTTAGTTTTTAGGGCTGCAGAATGAATTTGCTTTGGCTTTAAATTTTAGCCAAATATTTGGCCACTGGAACGACAGTGTTTTGGGGAATGTTTAAGGCTTTAATGCCTATTTAGGGTTAACTACATGATAGGTCTCCATAGTTTTGTAAAATCATTATATGGCCATTTGTCCCAAGTTTTTGCATTACTTTATTCCAAGCATTTAATTTCTGACATTTACATTTAAGTCACCATCATATTTACTATGCAATTTTCGTTAATATTCGACTGTGACCTTTATGTTTATGAATCTTTATTTTGGTCACTTTTGTGGTATGGATGCCTTTAGGTAGAATTGTTATTTATTCGTCTCTATTTCTGGTTTATTTTATTTTAGCCATTTTCTCTTTTTTTTATTTAACCACTGTTATTTTACTTTTTATATTTTGATCCTTTCTATTTATTTATTTATTTATTGATTTCTTGTTAATATTTATTTTCTTAACTTTTTTCATTTTTATTTTTTTCAATATTTAACCTTTTTTTAATTTTAATTCATTTATTTTAATTGGTTTTTTGTTTATTTTTTTTCTTTTTTACTAAATATTATTTATCTATATTTATCTGTTTGATTTATTTTATTATTATTATTATATTAATTCTTTTTCATTTTTTTATTATTTTCCCCTTTTCCCTTTGATTTATCTAATATTTATTTATTATTCGTTATCTAACATTATTTTTACTCTTTTTTTAGAAGAATTTCAATCAATCAAAGGTAATTATTCGAATCGAATTTTTTAAATTTCAATTTAAATTCTTAATTTTTGCTACTAAGACAACCGACAAATTAATTGGTACCGAAAGTGCGGTTCGAGGGTGCTAATCCTTCCTTGACCGTAACCGACTCCTGAACCCGACACGTTTCTGGTGCAATGCATATCAGGTAATAAGGTATCCGATCTACCCATTTATTTTAAAATAAAAGATCGGTGGCGACTCCCAATCCATTTTCCTAAGTCGAAACCCAATTCCGGGCCCAACCGAAAGACGGTTCCGACATCTTGGCGACTCCACTGGGGACAGGTAAGTGAGTCAAGCCATAATTAATTTTCGGTTGTCTTTTTATGCGAAAATAGTAAATTTAAATTTAAATTTATTTATTCGATTCCAATTATTTATCTTTGATTATTTTTCAAATAAATAGTTGTACTGACGTTTTTTCAATGATTTCAGATTTTCAAAGTTTCCATCTAAGGCTTTATATCCGAGCTCTGAACCCTATTTAAGTGGGGGTAAAAGCGACGCCTTCGTGTGAATTTATTACCGCACAAGCCTAACAAGTAGCCTTCGGGATTCATATACCTTATGTCTTCGTGTGAATTTATTCACCGCACAGACATAAGGGAATGTGTCCTCTCGAGTTTAACTTAGTCCACACAAGCTTGTAATAGGCTTAGGACTAAGGGTCTAGCAAGCCCAAGGGGCACCAGCAATGAGAACTCGGGTACCTTTTTTTTAGAATCTAAACGGAGAGAGTATAGGGAATTAGAGCCCACCCCAAAACCTCATTGCAAACCCTAGGCTGCCTTGTTTTTATTTCCTGCTTTATTTTCTGTTCAAAGCATGTGAACTAGAAATGTATGCTGTTAGGACTAGTTCAAAATTAACATGCATGATAGAGATCATGTCCGGGTAGGAATGATAAGCATGTGGGGTAGATATCGTGTGGGATATGACTTTTATATTTCATGATCATTTTTTTATCTTTACCTCACTAACTTTTTTTCCATTTTGTCTCTTTTATTTTATTTTCATCTTTTGCATCATTCATTCAAAAGAGGTGTTGGTCCACCAAAAACGTGTTTGTTACACTCAAAATAATCCGAATTAATGGACAAAGGGGTTGTAATACAAGAGATGAAAATGCAGAGGACAGTCTACAAGGCGACTATGTGTCACATTCAATCCAGAAGACATGGTGCCCATAATTAAATAGTATATTACTCTGTTGCATTATAAAGGACTCAGAATGAATCGAGTCTACATCAAGCACAATGAAAGCCTATCTCGAAAGAACTGACTGGCAGAGGTTGCAGGGGCAAGTTGAAGGTCACTGATCTTGGGAGTCCCTTCAAAGACAACAATGGCAAAACGATAGCTGAAATTGGAGACCATTGCTGACGAATTCAAGAAACAAACAAATGAACTTCACATAGTTCCTATCAATTAAGGGCTCCAATGATATATTCATTGGGAACATACTATATAAAAGATAAATGTCCGGGATGCAGTCATTCGAGACTTCTTGGGCCAGTACAAAAAGTAACTCAACATTTGCACGATTCATCCAAAGAGGTTGGAGCGGTTCGACAGGTTATTCAACCAGTGACAGACGAACGCAGAAGATTAGTCAGCATGTCAGAAGCTGTCATGATATTTTTGGTCTCTTAAAAGATAAAACACTTTTGTCCCCAATAGGGATTGTTCATAATAACAGACACATTGTTTTGGATCAATGCCTCGGATATTTCATGCATCATGTATTTAGACATATTTTGCATTTTGTTATTTTATTTGCATTCGCATTAACTAACGAAAAAATGCTTTAAAATAAAGGAATAAATACAAGATACACCACCTCAAGCGTTGGATACACCTCATTCGCATAATACTCACTTGAAAAAGAGGCGTATGA